GAACGTTTTTAGCCCACATAAGAGCTTTCCCGGCCGCCAGCTAGATACCGCATCACGTAATAGCCTGGAAATTCAAGCGTCCTCTATCGCAAAACGAAGAACCCTTCCGTAACGAGAATTTATACAAATAAAAGTGTTTAGCTGCTGTAGTACCTCATGAAAGTAGAAACTCAGAAGAATCGATTGTTCCTTTGTTTGAGTTTTGGTGACGTCATGTTAAAACCGACAATAGGTAGCGAGGCTGAAAACGGAGAGCGACACTGGAAGGTAAAAGAATTTATCTATTTGCGACTGAAATTTTGTACCCTTTGGTTTATCAGAACCAAGGCGTAGAATACTTCAACGCCTGATTAGGAAAATTTGGGGTTACAAGAAGCATGTCACAGACCCACAGTTTCATTTTTCACGAGTGGCCTCTGGCTTTATCCCCGTTTTTTTTTCGTTTTTTTTTTGTGTGTATTGAGCAAGAAATAGTTATTGAGGCGAAACCTAAAATAGGAAAAAGACATTAGAGCATTTTGCCATACTGCCTACAGAACTAAGTTCCAAACGCAGACTGTCCAAAGCTCCTGGTACGTTGTTTGTAACAGTCGTAAGTTCCTGGCTCACAATCGCGACTTCGCCGCTTTACACTAGGAATTTGGAAAAAAAACCTGTATCATCCAGGGTATCGATCATATAGCAAAAAGTAATTTTGATTGTGACTTATTGAACTTAGCAAGTGCTACAGGTCTTCCTGCAATACTTTGAGGCAACTGTTGGATGGGAGCATCGTCCTTTCTTTGACCACCAATTGCAGATTTTCTCATGCGCCCTGTTCTTGCAAACTGAAATAAATTATAAAAATATTACGACAATGTAAAAGAAAACACTGTGACTATTCACAATGCCATTTTTCGGTGGTGTGATGAGTCCTTCTCAGCTCGAAGTCACGAAGCCTTTCTAAATATTAAACAAGCTAAATTTAGTATCCTGTTCACGATTACTGTCCTGAGTCTCGCTTCTCTTTTCCTCTGAAATCCCAACTCCAGGTTGTCAAACAAGCTGCATCCCGGAAAACTTTTTCGTTTACTCGTATTCAACTCTTAGGGGGTTACTACTATTTTCACAGGCTTGGCTGCAAAATCACATATGATTATTTGCTGTACTCAAATGCAACTAGGAGTGTTTCATCCAGTAAAAGCCTGAACACTGAGAGCTAGGTAGCTTGAAGAAAAGAAGAGAGGCGCAGCCGAGTTGAGTTTTTAACCAACTTTGTGATGGAAACGTACCATGAAATGCATTTGTCACCAATGTGAAAAGCAGCAGATAATATTTACCAGGACAATTCTGTGTGTTACATCCTCTCGTTTTTTCAGCTGGTCCTCTACAGTCTCTCCCTCCGTTTGCCGGCGGCGGATTAGCACAAGAACGAGAGCGTCGCTGATTTCCTCCCGCGCATGTTCGAGAACAGGTAGACCAGGAGCTCCAGTGGGTGTATTTACCATCGACTGGAAATCCTACGAACATATAAGGCCAAGTAAAGAGAAATCTTGTAAACTAGAATATACAACTCTAATCATTATTCAGATCACGTCTTAGAATTTTTAATTAGTGTACAATGCATGTCACTGGCATACATAAAATGCTTAGTTTTGTCCACGTCTTTCGAGCACGCCTCTCCCGGTCCTTCAGATCAATAATATTTTTTTTATTACTCTTTGCATTTGGCACGGAAAAATAATTGATATGTTCTGCTCAGTGCTGAAAAATATTTTGTCAACGCTCCCTTATAACTGTTTATTGAATAAGATTATTTAAATTGTGCGAGTAATCTACCAGGTTCTGGGCACGTAGGGTTTATGCAAACTTTTCTCTCCTCGCTTACTCCAGCACATGGTTCACCTCCATTTGCAGGCGGTGGATTTGTGCAATTGCGAACACGCTGTCGAGTTCCATTGTTACAAGTCACGCTGCACCGTGACCAACGGCTCCATTTTGAATAACCTCCATCAACTATATACCTTATACCTTCCAACTAAAACGCGTGAAAAACTGCCTTTGGAGAACAAGACTCCCTCGCACGTAGCCAAGTCAATGTGCTAGTTGTGCGAGAACAATGTTTGAGGGTCTCGGGGAAACAAAACACTGGCCCTAGTCCTAGCCCACCAAAGCTGGCTTGTTTGGTTTTCTCTGCAGGTAGCTTGAGCTGCGATACAACTTTGCTTAGGGAAACTGGGGAAAGAAGGAATAACATTCCCTTTTCGAAGGCAGGACCCTGTAATCTATTGTTAGAGAACCTACAAGTCGAAGCAGATAGTCGGCAAAACTTGACAGAGACCGTTGAGGACAAAATGTGTCAACTACATTTGTCTCGATTTGAGGTTAGACTGTACATACCCGGTGGACAGGGGTTTAAGGCACATCTCTTTGACTGTACATTCGTTCCAAAGCACTGACTTCCTCCATATGCAGGACGAGGATTGGTACACGTGCGTGAACGACGTTGAAGTCCTCCACCGCATGTTACGCTGCACTGGGTCCAGGGCCTCCACTTTGAAAAGCCTCCGTGAACTGACAAAAAACAAAACGAGTAAGTATGTCAGTAGCTTCCTGCTGTTCACGTTAATATTTTTCAGGAGAAAGTGAATCAGTACCACAAAAACACTTATCATTTCACTACGTATAATTACAGAGGTAAATTATAATTATCATAAAAATTATCCCAGAATCCTTTGAGGCAATTTTTTTAAAAGCTTTACAGTCGACTCTCTCTTAACGGACACCTCTATAAGACGGACACCTCTGTACAACGGACACCTAGAGTTGGTCCCTGCCTTTGCTTATTCCCTTTATTTAACTCTTTATAGCGGAGCTCTGGCGCGCGAAGCGCGCCTGCGGAGCACCATGGGTAAGTAAATCTACCCATCCTAGAAAATTCGGTAATCACGTGACCGAACACCGCCTGCCCGCCCGTCCGTCCGTCCGCACCACAGGGCAACCAATGTTTAATCTCACACTTTCTAGCGATTTCTAGCTCGTTTGGGAGCACAGGAAGACTGATGTTGCACACATATTGCAAATCAATGTTCTGATCAATTGACAGCTGTCAAAACAGGGCATCCGCTGACCAGTATCACCTGACCTTATCGCGGGCTCAGGTGTCGACCCATCGAGGTCGAGTATCTTTTTGAAGTAATCCGCTGACAAGTTACTAGTTTTCAAATGATTGCAGGCTCAAGTTAAATTTTTTTAAATTCATATGAGATATGTTGTGTTTTATATGTGCTGCACAATTAAAATTTTGATTTCAAACTGACCTCGGAAGGTAAAATTCAGCTAGTTTTTACAGGCAGAGAAGACATGCCAGTTGCTTTTGACTTTTCTCACCAAGGTCACGCGTTGGTCACGCTCGACGTCCAATTTTCATACTCTGATTGGTCAAAATTTGACAGGTGAGTTCATGCGGAAAATTTATGCAGCATCTTAAATCTTGTTTACTTTGACAGCTGAAGCTGACAAAGTTTTTTGTCAACTTGTGATGTTTTTAACTGTCATTTTCCACTGACTGTACAAAGTGAAATTCAGCTGCTATCAAGAGTCTTCCGATATTCATGGCTAGTTTGTTTATTGGGTTTTTGGTTGAGAAATACTTTGCTTTGGCAAAGTCGGAAATCCGATTTCGGATGGCATCGTTTTCGTTTTTCACCTTGCTTGATGCGTAAGACGGTTGAAAAGACTGAAGCGATTCTGGCCTTACTTGATAGTTTTCAGTGCACCTCGAATGGTAAGCCTGAGTTATTATTGTATTTGATGTTTGTTTTTTCTATCTAATTTAACGAGGTCGAGCGTAGTTTATGCGGCTATTTGGTTTATGCACGTTTGTAAGATTTGACCGAGTATCAGGTTTGATTATAAGCTTATAGAACTTTAAAAAGCCTTTAGACATTTTCTCGTCGCAAATAGAAAGAAAACGTTCCAGAGAATATTTAATTCTGGCTGTAAAAGAAAGTTTTGAGCGATTTTCTTTCCTCAAGTTCATCTTTGAAAAAAGCAAACACCGGGAACCCAGGCTTAAAACATAAACAAGGATTTTCAGAGACACTTTAAGGACGGTGCCCACTAATGAGAAGTATTTTTTCCCAGATAATGACTGTGTGAGACAAGTAGATCATATCAGGGGCTATTGAAATCCAAAAAGAAAACTAGGGGTAACCACGCATTTTTCAGAGATAACTGCGCTTCAATATGGAGGAAAACGCTGAATGGGCGTTTTTTAAAAAAATGATAAAAAGTTATTTTTTCTCAAGATTTCAGAGTGTACACGTGAACTGGCACAAATGCAATGATAATTGTAACAAGGTTTCAAAATAGGCAACAAATGATAACATAACNTGTGGACAGGCGGGTTACCCACCAAAGCGGGTTACCTCACCTACCTGGGGTCCCCACCTCCATGTAAACAGGCCCTTAGGCTTCTCGTTTTTTGTTCTTAATATTTTAGCTGCATGATTATCTCTTTTCTAGAGATCCAACGTTGAGAAGCAACAGGAGCTTCGTCCACGGTTTTTGCAGTAACTTTCTTTAACAAAAATGAAGTATGAAAAACTTTTTTTAGGCTTAAAGCTTTTTTTTTTATTTTGTCCCTTTACAAGCAATTTATTTTTGTAAACGTCAAGTTACACAGTGCATAAGGAAATAAACCGAAGCTTATTAAATTTTTTCTCCAAAAAATGCGGCGCTTGTTTGAGGGTGGCGCTAAAAACCATAGTGATACCTCTTAGTACCGTATTTACGCAAATAAGCGCCGTGGCGCCTATTTAATCCTCCAAATGCGACGCTTATTTGAGTATTTACTGCAATTTGCAACTTAAGGACGTCCCCCCCCAGGTACTCCTTCAATCGTTTGCTTACCCGTACATGTCGTCGAGAGTTTTTTTAACTGTAGATGTAATAAGGATTGTAAACCTTCTATCGTTTTTTATCATTTTACCGGGTACCTCGATCGAATAGTCTCTTAATAAACTTGCATACATTCAATGAGCTTATATCTGTGCTTTGCGCCATCTCTTTCGGGCTCTGCCACAAGTTTTATATGACATAAATGATTTGCATATACAGACTCAAGTTCCATACGTGATCATGAGCTCTCTTTTAAAAAAGATGAATACTGCGAAAGCAGTTGTACCGAATGCGTTTATGTACCCTCAAAAATAAACTGGGCTATAATGATCATTTTATATATTTCGTTCTGATTTTTTTCACTGTAGCATTCTGTGTCATGATCATTCACTATTTTTCGTTTCTAAATGTTAATTTTAGACTTAACAGTGTCTGTTAAACCTAAGAAAGTCCTAGAATGGAAATACTTCAGTTTATTTTACCCTCCATCTTTAGTTTGTAAACGGCCAAATGGCGGCTATGTCTAAATGTCCAGATTATGTGTGGCGTGAAATTGAACCTTAAGAAATACTATCTACACGATAAGCTGCCAACGAGCCAATAATTTCAATGCTTAGTAATGCCAAAATGCTTAAATAACAATGATAATAGTAAAAAGCATAACAATTTTTTATCATTTTTTCCACAACGAAAGCGTTTCCTTTGCGGTCCGCAACTATTTGTGAAGCTGCGATTTCAGCAATCCAAGCGATCTTGTGATAGTTTTTTTCTTGTTTGTTCAACAAATGGGACATCTGTATGTACTCGAACGCTTTAAGTCTATCTTCTGGTGAATAATTACATAAAATCTTACAAAATTAAAGAAATATTCGGGAAAGTGTTTATAACCGATTAGCCGATAAAACGCGAAGGACGCGAGTGAAAGGTAAGCTTGCAGTTTCTCGATTAAAGGGAGGACTTAGAGCTATTTTCCTTCTGATTTACTGATCCTTGCCTATTAAGGGGTTTTTTAATACCTAACCTCTAAGTATAACATCTTAAAGCAATAACTTTTGATGTTTTAGAATTGACTTTTGTTTGACTATAAAATGTTCGGTCAGATCGATCATACGTAGAAATAGCAACATGCGCATACTTCTTCGGTTTTCAAAGAAATGACAAGGTAAATAGAAATTTTTTTTCATCTGCTGAAAAACGACGCATCTTTTCCACAAGAAATAACTAGAACCTCCCAGGGTTACAGGAGACAAAACCAGTCCGCGTGTCCTGCGTGTTGTGCATTTCTTTCGCGTCGCGCGCGACTACCTTCGCATGCGCAGAAAATGTGCGCAGTAACAATAGTGGGCACCGTCCTTAATACTTGTCTTCGCGAATGAAAATTGTTGTCTCTGTATATGTTTCACCGAATTATTTTCCTTTTATTGATTGTTAGTAGTCTATTTTGCAATTTTAATCGCTGTGCCGTTTGTTTTCAGTCGCTAATGAACATCGCTTGCAGGAGTAGTCAAAACGCCGCGCGTATCAAACGCTTTTGAATATTACGCATCGTCATAAAACCATTAAATAGAAAAATAAACATAATAAATTCTTTATTATGTTGAAGCGTATAACTCTATTAATCTTAATCTAAACAGTCGACTTTGGCTCTTGTCAAAAGTGAGAACCGGCTAGCCGTATAGGTGATTTTGGAAATTTTCTTAACGGTTTCCCTAAAAGCCCACGCGTTCTTCGATCGTCCTGAATATTGAATGAGTGCAATTTGTATTGCAAATTTGTGAAATCAACTGCATTCTGTCCGAGGTCCGTATGATAAAAACAGCGCCTCATGGTACTGTTTCAACTCAGATGTGATGTATAAAAAGTATATTAAAAAGGTTGGTTTACACGTACTTGCAAGATTTTGTATAGTAAACTTGTCGAACGCAGAAAATTCGGCGTGATTTGTTTTCCAGGCCTAATCTACTGTGATCAAGAGCCATTATGGCTCTTAAATGTGATCGACGATGATTGCTATTTTTGGGGTGTATATATAAGGCTATCAACTCGATGTAAGATTAAGTTCACTCTTAGATGGACTGTTTGCAAATTATTTTTCACTAAAATTACTTAGCCTTTCCCTCAAAAGTCACATGAATGTGCTCTAAAGATAACTGATTTTTGTCATTTGTGGAGTACAAGTTTATTTTTTGATTTAAATTATAAATTGGAGTTAATAGGAGCTTCGCTTGTAGCCCTGGCTAAATCTATATATTATGACATACATCTCTCTAAGACGGACACTTAGTGCCGGTCCCAAAGGTGTCCGTCTTGGAGAGAGTTCACTGTATAACTTTGACAATTTTATACGTAGAAGACTGTCAGACCACAACAAGATAACATTTGCCATAAAATATCTTCCCATGACACATCTTAGGTAATGACGTCATCAGTCACGTGACTCTTTCCGAATTCGGTTTTTTGGTTGCTGTGACAAGGTTTTATTAACGAGTTTTAGTTGTGTGGGGAATTCCAAAAAAAAAAAAACAGTCAACCTCCGACATCTAAAATTTCAGGGGGTAATGAACATGAGCGAAAAAGTCGGGGGACTACGCCGAGGGCTGTAGAGAGTCAACCTTTTAT